CCTGGCAGCTTGGTCCCTCCTACTTCACATCTGGAGTAAGAGTGAGTTTGTGTCTTTCCTCCCCTCCAGGAGGCTTTATTTATACTGCCCTCAGCTGGGTCCTAATTTGGCTGATACCTGCCACAGCTGCTGGCTCCACAGCTCCACCACTCCAGCCCTCTCCTGGGCTGGGTTTTATCCCTTAAAGGGCCAGTGTGGGGCAGACACCCTGTCACAAAGTGATAAAATCCAAGGAGCACCAGGTTCTCATCTCAGTTACACTGGTATGGGTCTGGGAGCCTCCCTGGGTGTCAGTGGAGTCACTCCAGATTCACACTAGCTTAATTGACCATGGGAGCTCTCTCTTCAGGTGCAGAATTAACTGGATATCTGTAAAGGGTTCACCCTCTCTCAAGCACCCCCTTCTGTCCAAGAACATGTGTTCACAAGCTCCCACTCCTCTGACTAGCTCTGGGAGTGGAGGGCATCCCAGATGACCCTTCTTCTCTGGGACTTGGGACCAGACTTTTCTCCTACCCCCTGGAGTAGTACTGGGAGGATGGGGAGGGGTGAGAGAGAAGACCCAGGCCTTTCCACCCCACTAGGTCTCTGCCCCGGTACCCTGTAAATAGCAGTTGCCTGCTAAGTGTCCTTACTAGCCATTGCTACTTGCTCCCTAGGCCACTTTCTCAAGTGGCTGCTCCATCCTTGCCCTCTTTCCGGGCTTTATCCAAGTCCTCATTGCACCCTGTCCAGAGTCTTGCAATCCACCCTAGCTCACCACACCTGGTCTTCAGCTGGGTCTGCCTACACACTACACTACACCCCCTGCCCCTGCCCCTGCCCCTCCATGGGTTTGCACGGTTTGAGCTCCAAAGAAGAACTACCGGGGCTTGGTCCAGCAGCTTCTTTATACCAGTTTACTGGGCCCTGATTGGCTGCAGCAGAAGCAGCCACTCTAGCTTGCCTGGAGGAGCTCTTCTCTGCTTTTTTCACTGGGGCAGGATGTGGCAAGGCTGCAAGCTTCCAGCAGGGGGATTTGGGCCTAGTGCACCCCATCACAATGTCCTCAGCTCATTGTGAGCAAACATAAACCTCTCTTGAAAGCCCTGTGGGCTGCAGCTTGAACTAGTATCACTCTGAACCAGTTAAACCTGACACTAGTAGACAATGGCCGCAAAAGCAGATGGAGATGGAAGAAATTAATGCTTTCCTGACTTTCTCCTGAGATGGCTGCCAGCACTAGCTCTGAGGTCGAGTTTAGCAGGTGTCTTACAGAGGTGTGTGTGTGCGTGTGTTGCGGGGTGGTATTTGGTTCCCCTTCACCTGCAGGATCCATTAACCCTCCTGGATGCTTCAGGGGGTAGTCGAGTTAGTCTGTTACAGAAAAAAACAATAGGTCTGGTATCATGAGCTTTCGTGGGCACAGCCCACTTCTTCTCAAATCTGAAATACAAATGAAAATAACCACTATGAACCCAGCTGGCCAATAGCAGATCTCCCTGCAGAATGAGATCCCAAAGCCACTGGAGTCAGCAGATGGATGGCTATTGGCTTTCATGGATGTTGGCTCAGGCCCAGGGTAGCCTCCAGGCAGGTCAGAAAACTCACTAACCCCTATGTGGAGTATTACTCAGGGTCAGAGCCTGGTACTGTATGATGTGATTCACTGGTGTGCTGGTCATAGTACTCAAGTGTGCCTTCTGGGTCAAATCAAGTCCTTACTTGGTCAAACTCCTGTTGAGAGTGGTGGGAATTTTGCTGGAGCTGGAACTATGGGATTTGGCCTATTAGTGACTGTCTAATTCCACATATGCTGCTTTTATACCAGGGATGTCAGTGATTTTCAATTAGTTCTTTTCAGAGCTTTCTCACCTGTGCCCGAGACTGGATAAAGAATCAGGAGCGATATTTTTGGTAGCCTCCTGCCCCTCTTTCATCAAAAGAAATAGCCCCTTAAAAACAAACTCAGCAAAAGTGAGAGGAAAAATATGAACAAAAACTGTTGGGTTAATGCAGCCTGTGCGTACTGCGCCTGTTCTCTCTCACACATGCTCACTTCTGCAGTCCATCCCCGGCCTTTACTTTCACAAAACCTGTTTGGGGCTAGGAGGTGGCTTTGCCACAAGCCCTGTGTCAGAGGCCCCGTGTGGTGTGATTAACACGCTGCTTCTCTCCCACATGGTCCAAGGAAGAAGTCACCAGCATGTTACCGTACTGCTGGCCCATCTGTGCTGGTTCTCAAGTTGTGGGAGAGGCAGGTGGAGTCAAGGCTCTGACTACTTTCCAGCCCTGCTTTCCCAATTTATGCCCACCTGTGCTGGAGATGGAGTAGTGGCTTTGGGGAGGCTATTGTCTCACTCCAGCAACACAAGCAGCTGGGTTTGGGGCGCAAGCAGGCATCTTTTGTCTTGGTCTTCTCTACTTGGAAGCATTACATGAGCTCCATCATGATATTAGATTGCAAGTCCCTCAAGACAAGAATCTCGGTGCTCCTGCCTGTTTGCAGGGTGCCTCACATACCTCTGGGGTAATATGAATATTAAATAGCAAATAGGGAACATTCTAAATTGCATCCACTTACTGCCAGGCTGGATCTGTGTCATTGCTCCAGGATCTGCTTCGATGGCACAACAAAGATGACAGGCATCCACAATAGTTCAAGTACATCACAAGGGGGCAAGTTGTTCTGAACAAAGCCTCAGTTTTGTTTAATGTTGGCCACACACAGGCTTTAACCTGAAACAAAATACAGAATTTCCTCAGATCAATATGTGGAAGAAAACGGGCACAACCATATATACCAAAGTGATACAATCAAAAAAATAACACTTTGGTATATATGGTTGTGCCAATTTTCTTCCACATATTGATCTGAGGAAGTGGGCCTGGCCCGCGAACGCTCATCATCTAATAAATCATCTTGTTAGTCTTTAAAGTGCTACATAGTCCTGCATTTTGTTTCAGCTAGACCAGACTAACACAGCTGCATCTCTATTGCTTTAACCTGGTTACACTTTACATGTTTTGACACTGCAAGCTGATTTGAAGCGTAGCTGGAGCCTTGTTGCCCTAGGACACAAAGTAGGCGAGGTCCATACCTTTTGGTGGGAGGGACGAGCTTCTGAGCTACACAGAGCACTTCCTCACATGTGGAGAAGGTAGGTGGAGAGTCCTAGGTACCTACAACATCGGACCAATTCTTAAGCATAAGGAGTTCACGCGTGCTGTAGGATACCACTTAAAAGGAAATGGGTAATTAACACCCCTGCAGAGGGTTATCAGGCACCAGGACATGTTTACTGAGCTGGCTCTACACTAAAAAATGCTGCAAATGGATGTGCAAGTGGCAGGTTTGTTAAAAATTAAATTACTAATAACTGGGAGCTTTTGCCAGAGACAAAGATGGCTCATAGCACCCACAGAGATATAGCACCTATAAGAGGCATAGGACTGTATGCACGCAGGGGTTAATTTCCTTCAAGAGTCTTAGAAACAGACGCAGGCTGTGCTATGTGGGTGAAATTTACCCCTGTGCAGAGAGTTATGGCACCTCCAACATCCTACTTGAACCCCTGACACATAAGCGATGCATAGTTCTTGTGCTGGCTCCCTGAACGCAGGTGAATTTCATCCTAGGAGATGTCATAGCCTAGGGTTTCAATTTTATGTTTCCTGCAGCTGGTCAGGCAATGCTTCTCCTTTATTCCAGAACACAATTTTGATGAAAAAAAATTAAAAAGTTTTGTTTACAACTGAAAAAGCTGGGTTTTTTGGTTGGGCGGTGAAAACAAAACAATTTTTTTTGTTTTTCTCCCAAAAATCCCTTTTAAAAATAGAAATAGATTACTTTTTCTTTCTGATTTATCAAAAAGCTATTTCCTCACTGGTAAAAGTTTTGGTGGAAAATGTTTCACTAGCTGTAGTGTTTGTCTTCAGGGGCTAATGAAGAGGAGAAGCAGAGATGTAGCTACATTGTGTGGTACACATTGCAATGGGTTTGCTTGAGTGAATCCCCCCAAAACCATAGTTGATATTGTGCTATAGATGTACTGTAGAAGGAATGAACTAAAAAGGGTTTTAATGTATACACTGTGGTGCAATATAGAAAAATGGTGCAATACAATCCCAAGGTGAGTGGTGACTAGAAAATATTAGATTTTTTTGCATTTTGCACTCACCTAGTTATCTCTCAGACAGGTAAGTTCACTGACAACAAAACTTATGTGCTGAGATGGGAAACCAAAAGTTTACTGCGACATCTGCTAAATTTGCACATTCCTTTTTTATATATTAGTTTATCATAAGAATAAATGTGTGCAAGAGTCAGGAATCTCTTCTTGGGCTCTGTAGTGCATAGATGAAGCAACACAGACTTAAGGGGTACATCTGCAGCCAAGTTTTTATAGAGCTCAGCTATTTGCAAACCTAAATTAAGTGGTAGATTTTTAGCCCCACTCCCAGCAGTGGCTTTTGAATTTAAGGATACGTCTACACAGCAACATTACTTTGAAATAACTAGCGTTATTTCTAAATAACTTAGTCCACATCTACACAGCAAGCAGTTATTTTGTAATAGTGTTGAAATACTGTCAAGCTGGAGGACTTTTACTCCGACTCCTGTAACCTCATTGTATGAGGAGTAAGGGAAGTCGGAGGAAGAGTGCTCTATTTCGAAATAAGTGCTGTGTAGACATTCCCAATTTCAAAATAAGCTATTTTAAAATAAACTACGCAATTGATGTAGCTCAATTTGTGTAGCTTATTTCGAGGTAAGCCCTGCTGTGCAGACGCACCCAAAGAGGCCAGATCTGAATGGGAATTTCCCATTTTACTTCAATATGCAATGGATCAGACCCAACAGGAGTTGCTGCATGCTGAGTACTGTCATACCTAGCCCCACAATTATCCATCAGGGGAAGAGCTATCCAGTGGAGATGTCTGCTAAGAAAGGAAATCAATCTATCCACCCATTTTCCTGTTGCTTTAATTTCTGTCTCCTGTTTCTTTTTGAACCCTAGAAATGAATTCAGACCTTGGGTAGATGTCAACAGAGTCAAACTTATAAAATCGAAGACCCAGTACAAGCCCCCGGATGAGAAAGTGAGCCATGTAACCAGTTACAGCTCTCAATTCAAGGGAGAACCCAACAAGCCTGCGCCACCTGACAACAAATTCATCGATCGCAGGAGGATACGCAGCCTTTATAGTGAGCCTTTCCAAGAATCTTCAAAGGTGAGAAATACAGTGTAAGGGACACGGGCCAGGAGGTGTTTGCTGCAAGGTATGGCTATGAAGACTTCACTGCACTGCCTAGTTTCATTCCACTTCCCAGGATTTATTCATTTCTGGCCAGGCATCTTTCTAGGAATCATTCTCTGGCAATTCAAAAGCACGGGGCTGAATCTTTAGTTGGTGTAGATTGGCATGACTGCATTGAAGTCAGCGGTGTGACACTGAATTACAACAGATGCCCGATCTGGCCCCAAGACAATGTCTTTGCATTCATGTTTCCGTGATCTCTCGTGCAGAATCTCATTACTTGCTAAACACACAGCTACAAATGCATTACCTTCTTTTATTTCACCCCAGTAGCGAAGGGCCAGTTCCTCAATTGGTGTAAATGGATGACTTCCGTGAAGCTACACTCATGCACAGCAACCAAGGACAGGCCTGCTGATAGGGAGTATAAAGGGGGCAATTGCCCAAAGGGGCCCGGGGCTACCGGCTGCAGCTACTGCGGCAGTGGCCAGAGTTCCAGGTCCTTTAAATTGCTGCCCGAGGCTGTGCTGTGTGCTCTGTGTAGCTCTGAGGGCTAGGGGGGCCATGCTGTGCTCTGGGTGGCACAGAGACCTGACTGCCCCTGATCCCGCCCCACTGCTTTCGCCTGAGGACCTGCGCCTTCTGGAAGCATGGAGCTGCCCCCCCCCCCACACACACACACACCTCGCCCAGAGGGGTAGCGCAGGTCGTCAGCTCCCCTGGCCAAGGATGGCCCTCTAAATCCATCTGGAATTTTTCCTTCATCCCAAAGTTTGGAGCTGTGCAGGTATTCAAGGTATTGTTTGGGCCTTATATAAAGAGAACAAGGGAAGGCGGAAAGGGCACATGGGAAATTTTGCCTCCTGTGGGCTTCTGAAACCCACCCCCCCAAAGCTGGGGAGAGAGAACGGGCTGGGTTCGGGATTTTGCTTCACACCATTGCCAGACATCAGTCCCGCTCCACGCTTGGTGCTGCTGTTTCTTGTGGCAGCAGATGAGCCCCACCCAGCCCAATATGTTTTTCCTCCATTTCCTCAACCTGAGAACAGAGCAGGGTAAGGGGCTCTCCCTTAGCCCTCCTAGGCTGCGGCTGTGGTATAGAACTTCTGGAGCATCCAGTGGGGAGCCTGAGACTCCTCTTCCCCTTTGTGCTGGAGCCCAAAGAAAGGTAATTCCTCATGAGATTGCAAAGCCACTCCCCAAATCAGCCAGTAACGGGGGTGACAAAATATGTGCCCTGCCTACAGTAATGGATGGGATGTCCTGGCATCCCTCTGGCTTTCCTTCAAACACTGGGGAGCCCAGCATATAACACCAAAGAGTTCCTTTTGCTAGGCTGACCCTATTCACGGGGTTGCAGAAGATTGACAGCTGTTTTCCGTGGTGGTGCCTAGTCAGCCTCATGCATTACAGACATTAGAATGAGAAGTTGGACGGCATCCTTAAGCAAAGCAAGTAACATGTATATCTCCTCTGATATCTCAGGCCACATAATCAGCTGGTGTAAATCAGTGCAGCTCCATTGACGTCAGTGGTGCTATGTCAATTTATCTTATGCAAGAGGGTCTGGCATGTTGTCCTTGGATGGCATTAAACCCAACACTTGACTTAGGGCTTGTGTACACACAGACTTAGTGTGCTGCAAGCTGAGGTGTATATCAAAGTCGCTGTGTATACAAGCTCTTACACAGGGAATAATGTATAAACAAATATTGCCTTCTCTTTGATGCTTTTTCCTTCTAAATCCTGTTTTTCTACCTTTTCCTGTGTGTTTCTGTGTTGGCGGTTTGTATGTTACGTCCATCCAGGTGGAGAAGCGTAGTGTTCAGCCTTCCAAACCAAAAAAGACAACAACGAGCCATAAACCACTGAAAAAGGCCAAAGACAAGCAGATTACATCTGGCCGGGCTGCCAAGAAAAAGACTGCAGAGAGCTCCAGCGGGACAAAGCCAGAGGACAAGGAGAAAAGTAAAGAGATGAACAATAAATTGGCTGAGGCTAAAGAGTAAATTTCATTGCACTTTTCTCTCTTTCTTTTTTTTCTTTCATTAAATAAAGGCCACAAAATTAATTAGAGGCTTCTAATCTGCTTTTGTTCTGATTGTATTAGAAGCTTTTATGTTTTATTTCCAAGGAGGATTAGGAATCCTCATTTCAGAGGTCAGGTTTTCTGCTTTGCCTGCACGACACAGAGCTACACAGAATGATGGGGAGAGGATGAGGCTGGAATGCACAGAGGATTGTAGATTGCAATGGTTTTCAATTAATTGTGCACTGCAAATGTATTAAAAGGCATGGCTCTTTCCTTGGGCCTGAACCTCCAGTGCTTAAATTGCATAAAGCTGCCATTTGTTCCGCTAGTGCAGGGAAGGGGCTCAGTTTTGTTCCCAGGATCTGATCCCATGAGCCTGAGTGCCTGTCGGGGGTTCTGAGCTCTGTCTACATCTAGTGGCATCAACAGAACAGAAGTAGTGCTCAATATCTTGTGGGATTAGGCCCTATAAACCTGACATAACTCAGTGGAGTCATTCCAGATTCACAGTTGTTCTCAGAGACATCAATGGGTATTTGGCCAAAGGAAAGGATGAAAGATACTGGGTTAGATCTTCAACTAGTATAGATGGACCATGCCCATTTACATCAGCTCAAGATCTGGCCCCGTGTTGCAGCAGAATGGAAAGTGAAGTCAGGCACAGAAAGAGTCCAGCTGGTTGCAAAGATTTCTTGAATGGGCTTCAGGTCAGACTCTGCAGGTTGTTCTTCCCTATCATTTTTCAAGATCTGCATCTTTTTTATTATTTTTTATTTGTTTTGGATCTTGGTCTGATTCCTATGTTTTTCGGATGCAGATGGCTATTGTGTGCAACTGGAGTAGGAGCAAGTTTCAGGAATGGATCCAGTTTGCAAACATGACTTTTTCTAGGTAGAATGGAACTTGCAAGTCACCATTGTTAGCTCTGGCAAACTGCTAGAAAATTGTCCCAAACACAATAGTTTTAAATATACAAACACGTTAAGTCATGGCTGCTCATAATTGTGCGAATGGGACCATGATCCAGTTATTGAGAGCCATTACCTCCAACTTGGCCAAATCCCTGGGGTCTCAACTCAAATGTTTATTGTGCCTTTACTCTGCTAAAGTCCCACTAATGTCAGTGTGACTCAGTAAACACAGAAGGCCTCTTTCTCAGCTGGTGTCAATTGCACAGCTCTGTTGAAATCAATGGAACTGTATCGATTTACACCAGCTCCAGGTCTGGCCAGCGTGCCCATCTCAGGATTCAGCTGACAGATTTGGTAGCTTACAGAGCAAAGCACCTTTCAGGGTCTGGTTTCTGTTTGACAAAACTGATCCACCTGGTAATAAACCCACCAAGCAGCTATAGAAATCAGGACTGATTGGCCTGGATTAATCCTTTTTGCTATAGCTCAATCCAAGTTGCAAATTTAATTAGGCAAAAGCAACTGGGGAAGATGTAAGGTGAGCGCTCCAGAACCATCTTGCTGCAGCGGTATTTGAAAAGGGAATTCTCGCTTCTAGCATGTATTAGATGTGAATTAAATACTTGCAAGACTTTTTTTCTGGGGGGTGGTGATTTCACTGGTCAGAATCTAAATGTTTTGTCATTTGGTATGTCTGAAAAAGGGTGCCACGATGGGAGGGTAAAAGAAGGTTTATAAAGATTAGGGAAGTTCTATGCTATGTGACTAGCGAACAGTGTTGGCCTGAATAATGAATACATACATAGAGTGTGTTGTGTGATATGTCCTGTTTGCCTTGTGCTAACAGACTAAAACTTTTGAGTAGAAGTAAGTGTGATGTTCTTAATTCAGTGCTGTATTTCCAAGTTTAGCTGTGTTAGAACTGTATAGTATGAGATAGCCAGGATGTTTATGTGGAAAAAAAACCCTCTCTTTCTATATATATTTATGCTTCCAATGTTTAGGAGGAAACCAGGGAAATCCTCCAGGAAGTAAAACTGTGGAACTCTTTGTGAATGTAATGCATTTTTGACATGCATGCTTCACAGAGAACCTCACTGAACCGTCTATAATGATCGTCGCTAGTCTGAGAGCTCAGACATCGAGTGGATGTTGTGCAACAGCAAACCTCAGTTTTGTTTGTAACTAGTGCAGGGTAGCTCAGCAAAGGGCTGCACTCAACTCATGAAATATAAAGTCTCAGAGGGGTAGCTGTGTTAGTCTGTAACTTTAAAAACAACTTTTAAAAAAACAAGTACTCCTGTGGCACCTCAGGGTGCATCAGAATAAGACACTATTCTGACAGATCCCTTGACCCTCATGGAACAAGAGTTACAGGGAATAGCATGCCGGCTATTTTGGTAAACAACAGTAGCGTTTAAAGATGCGGCATTGCTATTTAGGGATACTTCCAGTATCCCAAAATAGCTCCGCAGTCTAGACATACCCTTAGAGACTAACAGAAATCTACATATGGTATCATAAGCTGTTGCGGGCACCTCAAGATCATCTCATCTGAAGAAGTGGGTTTTGCCCACGACAGCTCATGATAGCATACGTAGATTTTTGTTAGTCTCTAAGGTGCCACAGGACTACTTGTTGGTTTTTTAAGTTGTTCACTGAAGATAATGCAGCTCACTGTTCCATGGATGTTTGTTAACCTTCTGGAGAGCGCTGAGCCTCAAAGACTCTGTGATTCTTGACATGTCAACAGATGCCTCCATTCACCTTTACACTTCTCAGGCCTTGTCTACACTGACAAGTTTACAGATTGTATTGTGAAGACAGGAGAGAGCTCTCTGGTCAGTATAGTAAAACCAGCTCATGAGGCATGGTAGCTATGTCAGCAGAAGAGCATCTCCTGCCAACTTAGCACCATGCACAGGAGCTCTTTTGCCAGCAAAACTTATATCCCTCAAGGAGGTGTGTTTTTCACACCCCCGAGCAACAAAAGTTTTGACAACGTAAGTGCTAGTGTAGACATGACCTCAGATACACACCTTCTTATCTCAGGTAGAGGATAGTAACAGTTAAGATGATGAAGCATCAGAGCAGTTAGACAATGTCCATAAAGGGTGAAAGTTGTTTACGGTAGGTAGAAACACTGACTTCTTCACATGTGAGAAAGATTGTATTCATTCACTGCAGAGGATCATACGTTTTTGCCCATTTGCATCCGTATTAATGCTTCACTAAGTGCCAAGTCCACTGGAAGTCAGTGAGACTAAAATACAGTCCTAAAAGGTTTAACAGTAAGCCCCTTGAATAGGCCCAAGTTTGTCTCTAGATGTGCATGCCATTCAGGGTCTCGGACATGCATCCAAGTGCATAGTTGGCCCAGTGATTAGTACTAGGAGGTATAATAAAATCAGGTCTTTGAGCCAAATTCTTCATTCAGTCGCACTCCATGCTAGCCCACTGATGTCAGCAGAGTTACATGCGGTGTATCTGAGCACAGAATTTTGTCCTGCGGGCCTCATCTTGCCTTAGTCTATGATAAAACGCTTACCAATTTCAGACGTGTGCATGGATTCAGGACAACGTATAGTCCTCTGCCTGCTTTCTCATTGCTCAGACATAATACCCATACAGTGAATTTAACATTGGTCAGAAATCTGTGCTGATTCAAGGTCACTTTGGGTGCTAAGCTGGTCACTTTCATTTGGCAAGCATTTATTCTCTGGTTTTGGGTTTTCAATTGCCATAAAGGCAGTTATTTTTTCATTGCCAACTTGTAATGTGTTTTGCTTCCTTGGTTCAAAAGTGTTTGCTTTATCTTTGTGAGAATTCCTATGGCTCTCTTTGACCTCCTGCTTTCTTATTTTCACTGTGTCTTCTTATTGTGTTGTCACTCCCTTTTGCAAGATGGTGCTAAATGCCAATGGGCTTCTTTTTCTGACTGCTTTGCAAATCCACCATCTGCTTCCTCATCTGCAATGTTTCTGTTGTGAATACATGATGCCCATGATTCCCATGTACTCATGCCTCTTGGAGGCAGATAGGAAGTGTCTAATTACTATTTTGTGGCCTGGGCTTTGGTTGCGTATCACAAATTGTCTCTGTAATGTGTTGAGCACACCACCTCTTGGTGCTACTTCATTCTTGCTGTTAGTATGAGAATGACAAAAAAAAGGATTAATGTATAGCCAATTGATTGTGACGTGCTTGTGATCTTTGCTTGCTCAAAGGGTTTTTTTCAATGACAAATAAATGCTGAAGATGAATACCACCTTCTTGATCTTGTTTTCTCACTAAGAAGCACAACCAAATAAGAGAAGCAAGCCCCCTTTCCAATGTTACCTCAGGAGAGCCAAGCTGAGTTTCGTGTTGCAGAAATAACAGTGAAATGTATCAGAGGAGTAGCTGTGTTAGTCTGAATCTGCATAAACAACGAGAAGTCCTGTGGCACCTTATAACGGATTTATTGGAGCATAAGCTTTTGTGGGCAAAGACCCACTTCGTCAGATGCATGTAGTGGAAATTCCAAAGGCAGGTATAAATATACAGGCACATGAAAAGAAAGGAGTACCAATCAAGAGGAAGGCCAGAGATAACGAGGTGAATTCAGTCAGGGAGGATGTGGCCTGCTTCTAGCAGCTTCTAGATGCTGCAATCTGGCTCTTTTCAGATGGCTGCTTAAGTCCCGTGAGCAAGAACTGAGAGCTACATATTGGCAGAGTTGAAGATGGACAGTGACATCATGTGAACAGAGCAGATAGGGTTTGTAATTGGTGCTTAGTTGAACACAGGGCTCCTGCTCTGTGTCCATGTGCAGGAGGCTACTGGGTAAGATTCACTGTTCAGATCACAGTCAGCCAAGCCACAGAAACATGTCCCTATGTAGAGGAGAAGAACTCCTCCCAAGAGCGTGATGGTTGAGTTATTAGCATTTGTAGTTGGCATTCACTTAATACCTATTGAAGTGAATTGGGAGTCTTTCCATTGTCATCAGTGGATTTGGATCAGGTCCTCTGACATGATCATATAACATGAAAGCTACTCAGTGGTGACATATCAATGGCACATCCACAACCACAAACCTGGAAACTCAGAATTCTACTCTCAACATCAGTGCTTGAGTCCTATCTGGCCTATGCATTGGGAAGGAATAGTGCACACTCATAAGCTGGTCCATATAGACAGATGACCAGCAACAGGAGGGTTTATATGATGCCAAACTAATGATTGATCTGGGTCCAAAAACTCCTTGCTGGGGAAATAGTGAAGATGTTTTCTTAACTTTTTTCAGTGGCAATTAAGCTACAAAAGGGACAAAATACATGTACAAACAAGCACGTTTATATTGGATACATGATGGAGGACAACTGGTCTTATTTTGAGCTGTGGATGGGAATCCAGGACTCCTGGGTTCAGTTTCTGTATGCCACTGATTTTCTCTAGAAGACCATGGGCAAGTTGCAGATTAATTGCTTTGTGCCTCAGTTTGCCCATGTAAAGTTTATAATACCCAACCACCAAGATGTTCTTCTGGAGCTTAATTAACTGAATATGAAGCACTTAAGCACCTTGAATGAAAGTTTCTGTGTAAATGCAAAGTATTGGTGTAGATGGTAATGTAGATGTGGTTACTAGCTGGAAAAAGATGAAGGTTGGTAGGTGGATAATGATATTTTAGCTTCAGGTAGTGAACTGCCAGAGAATTTAATTCAGTTATTTTATCTAGCTCTGTAAGATTCTGCACTGAATATTACCTCTATTCACATTTCCTCTTTTAATGAATGTTAGGTTAACACACCAGGCCCTGGTCTACACTAGGGAGTTATTTTGAAATATTCCCCCCACCCCCATTGTTTGAAACACTAAGCAGAGCATCCACACTACCAAGCCCATTATTTGAAATCAGTATTCCTGCTTTCCTTGGGGAATAAGCTTATTTTGAAATAGTTATTTTGGGAGTTATGTCAAATGTAGTTATTTCAAAATAATTTCCTAGTACAGGCATGATAGCTTCTCAAATGGATAAAATCATATGTCCGTGGGCCAGATTTGTGGTTTTGACATATCTCCATTTACTTCAGTGGGGTTATGCCCATTCACACTAGCTAAGAAACTGGA